AGGGGACCCCGACCAGGGGTATTATGAGTTTCCAGAACAGCTTCAGGAGGTTCGTGACATGCTTCAGGCGTCTGGGCAGATGCTGGGGTGCACCGACTGGGACCAGAGATACCTGATCTATGGGGTTCCCGAGCCTGTTCCTGTACCGCACTACACCACGGTCTCCAAGGAGGTTTTTGCATGGGGAGATGTCTCGGGCTCTTGGGGGCCCACGTCATATACTGACGGTTCGGGGTTCTCGGCCAGCATTCCTGAAGTACGTAGGTGCGGGTGGTCGGTCTGCCAGCTGGACCCCGTCACGTGGCTCCCCGCCAGAGCTGTATATGGGCCTTTGCCCTACTACGTGCAGACAGTAGGACGTGCTGAGCGCTATGCCATCAAGATGGGACTTCAGTGGCATCCTGGGCATGAGGCTTTCATTTCTGATCTGAAATCGCTCGTGGAAGAAGGTGCGTCCTGGGACCAGAGGCTCGAGTTTGGCAAAGCGAAGCACGCCCGAGTCTGGAGAGATATTTTTTCGGCTGCCAGAGCACGCGATCCACGTCTGCCACCAGTGCGGTTTCAGTGGACTCCAGCTCACAGGAAGCTGGAGGACATCATCGGGTCGGCCACGCCAGACGAGCTGGAGGCCTACGTCGGCAATGCCTGGGCCGATTTCTTCGCGAAGTGTGGCAGCGCTTCGCATATGGTGTCAACGACACTGGCTGACAGTCTGGCAGCTGGGCTGAAGCAACACAGGCAGGTCCTGCACTACGTGTCGTGGGCGGCCTTCCAGGTCGTGCAGTTTCGGAGGTGGGGAGCTGACCCTGTCGTGGTGCAGGACCCAGAGCTCGCCCAGGTGCCCAAGCGTGTGGTTTTCGAGAGGCCCCAGGGCCACGAGTTGCTCTTCTGCCAGAGGACGTCAGAGTATCGGTGTCGAAGGTGCAATCGTGTCGCTCGGTGTGCGAGTACCCTCCAGACTCTTCGTTCGGGAGCTGATCGTGTATGTGCTCCCTCGCCTCTCGTCCAGAGCCTGGCCGTGGACTTCTTCTTGCGGAGTTCTGAGGCGTGGCTTAGTGTCTCGGATTCTAGGGTCACGGCGGCCATCGAGGCGGCCGATAGGATGTTGGGGCCCACGTCTCGGCCTTTGGAGGCCTCCTCGGTTCCCGCGGTCCCTCCTCAGCCGCTGGGGCAGGTGTCGGCTGCCAGCGGCTCGGCCGACGTACCCCAACCTGTGCTTGCTGAATTCGCTGAATTGGGGCATGATGTTTTCTGTGTCAATTCCGTGTATTGCTGCCGCAAGTGCGGTGGCAATTTCAACGGGTCCGAGTCCTTCAGGTCCGCCCGCAAGCTGCGGGCGCAGTGCCAAGGTTTCTCGGAGAATCCAAAGACTAGGGCGAACCAGCTCACGGCGATCGACCGTATCACCCGTGGCCTGGAGCCCCGCCAGCGGGGGGCAGGAGCGGCGCGTTCTGGCCCGAACCCTGCCCCCTAGTGTCTCTTTTGGGCTAGGGCCTGGGAGGTTTTCTTGGGTGTGGTTTTCCTGAGGCGCCCCACCCTCTCCCAGGCTTCCGCCCTCCGCCACCCCTGTGGCTCTCAGGTCTCACACGCGGTGGGTGTTCGTCACTCGGACGCCTCTCCTGCGGCTCGCTCGCTCCTCCTCCTCCTCCTCCTCCTCTTCCTTCCTCCTCCCCCAACTACACCCCCAGCTGCTGCACATGTTCGGGCTGCATGTGGCAATCCTCTCCGATATCCGGCAGCTGCTCTCGATCCTCGATGGGGCGAGATGCGAGATTCAATGCCATTTTTCCGTTTCGAACGTTGGGGCCTTCGGAAATAGTAGTAGTTGTGGAGTCGGGTGGGCCCCGCGCTGAGTAAGATGGACCAGGTGGCCCCCGCGGTTTGTTTGAAAGGGGGCTATTCGTCTAAAGTTCCCCTAGGGCAGAGGTGCCGTTTCCGGACAAAGTCGGCTTGGAGTAATCCGTTCGCAAGACTCGCTTGGGTTCGGCCGCCAAATTTTTGAAAGATGGCCACGCCGCCGCCCGCGAGCCCCCCCGTGCGGTGGGTGGGCTTGCGCCGCGTTGCGTCGGCGACGACCCCAGCGCGGGCGTTGTAGGCAAACGCCGCCAGTGGCTTGAAATCGGCCGACGTTGAACGACCTGCGCCGTCGGAAGGGCGCGATAGTTCAGTGCTAAGGTCGTTACGGCGCGATTTCTCACATAGCTGACGTAGCCTTGCCCCCTAGTTTAAGCCTGTGCGCAGGGCTCCGTACTCCGCGATGTTCAGCTCGCTTGGGGACGGGGAGGTCGCATGGGGGGCTGGCAATGAACTTCGCGGGGTTGGTGGGGGAGTGATTCGTGTTATGAGGAGCTTCGGTCGCAAATCGCTGGATCCTCGTATGCCCTCGCAATTTTGTATATTGTGTGAATTCGTTTCGGCTCGCGTCTTGAAATCATAACGCCGATCTAGTGTCGATTAGTACGGACTTGCGCCGATTCGCGAAAGCCCGCCCCATCATTGTATGGGAGGCTCCCATGAGTTGCCGCTGACGGGGTGGGTCTGGTGCATGTTTGGGCCGTCCGGCGGGGCAGTGTGGAGGGGGAAACGCACGGCGAACCCCCCAGAGCGCCCCCGAGGGGGGCGACCCCGACGCCCCCACGGCACTCAGCGGCCGTTCCGGTGTACAGGTGGCGAATTGCGAAACCGCCAGCGAACAGTGGAGGCAAGAAAGGGGATGGTGCCAATGCTGATTCTGGGCGGCGAGAGAGTGTTATGATCTTCCAACTTACTTTGGCGTTGATCACCACCAAGAAAGTACCGAAGCTGGAGGGTTTTCGCGTGTCGGGCCCTGGGGGGCGATGCTCGTTCGACACTGTTTCGATACCGCTTCTGGTGCTCGCAATTATTTTTGTAATGTGGTCCTTGAGTACGATCGGAGCAACATACAGCAAGAGGGGGGAATGAAAACGAGAATGCCTTCTCAGAAGGCGCCGGGACTATTCAGGAGGCCTCGCGCCTTCCGAAAAATTTAAAGATGTTTTCACGGAAGGCTTAGAAAACTTCCCAGAAGTCTGCGGGACTTGCGGTCCTTCTGAGAAGGGATTCTTTTTTTTTCCCTCTAATGTTAGGAGTGCTGCCGACGAGTTCTACCTGCTGGGCCCTTGTCAAAATTCAGGCGATCGCGCACATGGATCAAAAGGGGCGTGGATTAGCGGCGGCTCCCGCTTCCATGGGAAATCGCAGATTTCCGCCGCATTCGGGGGAGGGCACCTCCCCCTATCCATGGATTTGGCGACCGCGCGCCAAGTCCCTGGATCGCTAATCCATGTGTTGCGCGCCCCCAGCGAAATCTCCTCGGCATCAGGAAACAACCGACTCCACCCCACCTATGGCCTCCCTTTCCTGATTCCTGAGTCCTGCTGGCGTGAGAAGTCTCCGACTTCTCCCCGCCCGGGGCCGACTTCTCCCCCCCCCAAGGACGGTTGTCCCCGAGGGGCCGATCGACCTAAAGTTAAGTCGGGCGTGTCCCCCTACAGGCAGATTTTGGGATAGACATAATCAAAAGATAATCAAACACATTCAAAAATTGTAGAACAATCGTCCCCTGATTATTTTTGGACTACTTTTGAATATTCCTCCTGTAGGCCCGACCTGAAACTAAAGTCTGGTGGCGGCCTCCCAATGACTGCGATCCTGTGCCCGCCTTGCCTCCACGGCCGCGGCGTTCTCGCGGCCGTCGGTGAAAAGGCGGGCGTGGAGCCGCTCGCGTTCCACTCACGCTTCGCTGGGCAGGCGCCCTTCTCCACAAGGAGTCGGCGCGCGAGGCGCGAGGATGACCGCGCCGTTTGATGGGCCTGTTTTCCACCACCACGACCATAAGTCGGGGGGGGGAAGGAGGAGGAGGAGGAGGAGGAGGAAGACGAAGAGGACGAGGAGGAGGAGGAGGAGCAGGAGGAGGAGGACGAAGAGGAGGAGGTGGAGGAGGAGGAGGTGAAGGAGGACTCCCTCCCCATCCAATTTATGGTGGTGGTGGTGGAAAACAGGCCCATTAGTTTGCACGGGCTGCCGCGCGAGGCTGGGTGTGTCTGGGGTGGTCTCTGGAGGGCCCTGCTAAGTCCTCGGAGGGCCCTCGCTTGCGTGCAGGAGCGACCAGAGCGGGACAGAAGCGCACAAACAATTTCTACGTAAGTCGGGTCCAGGATCGGGATAAGAATCGCTCCAGAGCGTTCCGCCACGCTCTCAGAGCGTTCCGGGGGCGCTCCCAGAAGGCCGCGGCGCCCGATACAGCACATCCTTCAGAACCGCGGGGTCTCAAAGATTGCCGAGTCATGCCGATCCGATCCGATGCGACCATGACCCTGCCTCCGCTGAAGGGAACGACAATTTCGAACTCCCTTGGCTATGAGGAAATATTGCTGGAGGCATCGCGCTGCGCGCCTTTGTTGTCTTATCTAGTCCGCACGTCCTCCCAGTCAGAGACAGGACGACGTTTGCGTGGCGGTGACCTGGCGGCAGGCCGACGCAAATCCGACGTGCATCCGAGGTACATCCGACGCGTGGATCCGACGCAAACTGTGCCTCAAGTTGCCGCGCGAGGCCCCCCTGGTTTTCCTCATGTATAATTCTCAGGTGTAGCCCCCGGAAGTCCCGACCCTTCCCTCGGGACCGGCGTTCCGTCCCAAGTTGTTTTTTGACGGCCATTGGGCCCGTCAAGGCCACCCCCAGAGGCCCAAAGCGAGGAAATGTCCGTCCTGATTATGTTCACGACGCGATCATGTTTGCGTATCGGCCCTCTAGGCCTCCCAGATGGGGTCGGAGTAGATGGGGTCGAACGATCGCGCCGCATCGCCGATGCATCCGCGATGCGGCTCGATGTGGTCCCCCGAGCCCATCTACTCGGGCCCCCGTCCAGGAGATCTCTATCCTCTCAGGTGGGGTTCTCCTCGTAACGTTCGCCGAGCCTCGATCGGCCTCGAGGGGCGGGTCGCTGGCCTGGCCGCGCTCTCCCCGCTGACGGCGAGGTGAAGCAGATGCACAAGGAGATGCAGAACGAGGTGCAGGCAGCCCCAGGGGGGGGGGTCGCCCGGGGCAGCCAGGGCTCATTTCGACCCCTATTCGATTCGATCCGATCTCGACGGATTCCGCTTCCCATTCGATTGGACTTCGGATTCCGATCTGGATCCCGAGTTCTCAGTGGAGACCTCACCAGCCTGCCGATTCCCGCCGATACGATTCGTTTCCAGCGCCGACCCGACTCATCCATGCGATTCTGGAGTCTCCAGGGTGCAGCCTGGCCCGCCTTTGGCGGGGCCCCAAGCAGTGCGATGCCCACACCCTGCGGTGAGCCAGTGTGGGCGAAAGGCTTCGAGGTTCCAGGTTTTCGGATGTTCAGGAGGGGAAAAAACACACAGACACAATTAATCATCGACTCCTCAGAAAATATTGGAAATATGGGAAGTGGGGGAGAAAACGAAAACCCAGAAAATATTAGAAAATATGGGGGATCCTGTTATTTGTGTGTATTTATTAGTGTGTCCCAGGGCCCCTTCAGGTGTCTTCATCGGCTCTCGGCACCGTTTTTCAGCCTCTGGATGTTTTCGAGCAGCTGCGCCTCGCCGAGGGCGTTCCGGGGGGTGCCCGGCTCGTCGTGGACGGCTGCTGGTGAGGCCCGAGTAATGGCCTGGAGACCATTCGGAGGAGGGACGGTGTGGTGCTCCGCGCACCCGCGGCCCCTCCCTGGACGCGGCCCGCCCTCGACGACGACGACGACGACGACGACGACGACGACGACGACGACGACGACGTCGACGACGACGACGACGACGACGACGACGACGACGACGTCGACGACGACGACGACGATGTCGACGACGACGACGACGACAACTACGACCACGACCACGACCACGGCCACGGCGGCGACGACGATGATGTCCACGGCGACGACGACGACGGCGGCGGCGACGACGACGGCGACGGCGACGGCGACGACGTTGATCTCCACGCCGACGACCAGGGCCACGCCCAGGACCGCGGCCTCTCTCCCGCCGCCCCCGTGGCTCCAGCAGAGGGGTGTGTTGCCCGCAGAGGCACCAATGATGGACTAATTTTCCACCACCGCTACCACAGGTAGGGCTGGTGAGAAGGGAGGATTGGGAGGTCCGCCTCCTCCTCCTTCTCCTCCTCCTCCTCCTCCTCTTCCTCCTCTTCCTCCTCTTCTCCCTTCTACCTATAGTAGTGGTGGTGAGAGATCGGCCCATCGACTAGTTGAAGGCCGAGGCCCCCGCGCCGCCCGGGAGGAGATGGTGCAGGTGAAGCTCGCCTTCCACGACTCGCTGCAGCTGCCCGCCGCCGCGCGCGGGCTCGTCGGCACCGCGCTGCCCCTGGAGCTCCCGGGCGGGGAGGTGTCGGCACGCGTCGTGTATAGCTCCCAGGTTAGCCTGGCCCGCCACCGGGCGTTCCGGCGCGCCCGCGCCGCGATCTGGCCCGGAGCCACGGGGGCCCTCCGCATCGAAGCAATCAAGGCGTCGGAGGCTCGGCCCTCTGCCTCGGCCCCTGGTGGTGGCCGTGATGCCGCTCCGCGTCCACAGCCATGCTGCCTCCGCACACGCTGGCCGCACCGGCCAAGCCTGACGAAGGTCGCCGTGCAGGGAGTGCCCTCCTCTCTCCGGTCCTCTGAGGCCTCTCTTTCCGGCCCCTTCCCCTCTCCCGCAGCCAGGCAATTCGTGCGTGCCCGAGCCCGTCCCACTAGAGCACGCGTGCGGATGGCCTCTGTCGCGATGCGACAAGGATATGTTCGGGGCCAGGCCCGCCTTGGGCCCAGGATCCACGCGTGTGCCCTTCACCAGGCGATGCTTCGGCACCTCTATAGGCCCCTGGGAGGCCTCACACCCAGTTGAGACAAATCGCACCTCAAACGTACTCACACTCACACTGAGTCGTGCTCAAGCTCACTGATACCCAGATCTTCCAGATTCACTCACGATCCAACCGTGCATACCTAGACTTTAGACATTTCCTTCACACACCCACACCCACTCACTCTCAGACCCGCTCGCACTCAGATTCACTCGTTCTTAGCCCGATGGGTATCGCGATATAGAAATGACGGCGCAATTCAGCACACAAAGAGGGGGTCGACGATGGGGTGTTCCACGAGCCCGTTCGGATTCGAATGGTTGAGACATGTCAGCAAGATCTGCTGTTTTGGCGTTGTGGGTCGGCGCGTTTCTCATCAGAGCGTCGCGGTCAACGCGATGCAGCAAGCACGGAATTGGGGCACACCAGCCGGGGGTCGACGATGAGTTGTCTGGCCGTCCTGGCCAGATTGTTGGAGCTCAGAAAAAAAGAAAAAAATAGAAAAACGTTGTTTTGTGTATTGCTGATGCTCGAGGAGCTGGGGTCGAAAGGCAGTGAGGAAGAGGATCCAAGAGGATCGAAGGACAATGGACAATGGTCGAGAACACGGAAGAATAGGAGGAGGAGGAGAACGGACATCGTTCATGAGGAAGAGGGACGAATACCGATGATCGAGTTCCGGAGAGAACTGAGGAGGATCAGGAGCAGGAGCAGGATCCGAAAACAGGATCGAACATCGAGGATCGATGATGAGGAGGAGGAGGCGGAAAAAGAGGTGGATCATCGAATGCCCAGGATCGAGTATCGGGGGGGATTCAGGAGGAGAATCAGGAGCAGGAGAACATATTCAGGAAGAGGGTCGATGATTTAGGGAGAGGATGGGGAGGAGGAGGAGGAGGAAGAAAAAGAGGAGGAGAAGGAGGATCCAGGGAGGAGGGCCCGTCGCCGCTTCAACATCGGTGCCCGGGCTGGCATGGGGAGCCTTGCGGGCAAGGAGCCTGCAAGAGGGCCAGAAAACACCACAGCGCTCCCAGCACGCCGACCACCGCCTCGAAACGGCTCACGTGACCTCCACGACACCGCAAGAGAGTTTCCGGCCGATGCCCGGGAGAGGCCCCTTGAGTTCTTCAAGGATGTTCCCCTTGAGTTTTTCAAGGCCCCTTGAGTTTTTCAAGGATTTTCGGCCCCTTGAGTTCTTCAAGGAATTTTTGGGGGCACGAATGATTGAGGCCCCTTGAGGTTTTCAAGGATGCTCGGGTGCTCGCCTGCTCCGCCGCCCGACGCCCGGAGGCCGCACAAGAGGCGCCCAGGGAGGGTCCCAACACTCAGGAGGGAAAAAAACACACAGACAGAATTAATCCTCGATTCCCAGGAAAATATGGGAAAATATGGGAATTGGGGGGGAAGACAAAAACCCAGAAAATATGGGAAAATATGGGGACTATTTTTATTTGTGTGTATTTATTTGTGTGTCCTAATTTCCCTTTAAACACACCCGAAGAGGGCGCCAGCACAGCCCAGGAGGCGCCCCAGGGCGCCAGCACAGCCCAGGAGGCGCCCCAGCCCTAAACGAAGCCCGCAGGGCTCCAAAACGGCCCCAGCACGCCCATCATTGCCCCGATGTGGGTTCAGGGGGCCTCCGAGGCGCACCAAGAGGGCTGCAAGCTCATCCCTGAGACAGGCTCCAATGGCGAACATCGTTGATTTCCCTTTTTGTTTTTTGAAGATTTTCGTGTGGTCGCCTTCTCCGCTGCTCGATGCGCGGAGACGGCATAAGAGCCTCCCAAGAGGGCCCAAAGACCACCCAAGATGGCCCAAGAGGTCCCCAAGAGGAGTCCAAGAGGGGGGATAGCCACCTGACATTTCGAGCTCGCCACTTTTCGAGGTGCTAGGGCGCCCGAGGCACAACTGGCCCAGAACAACCACAACAGCCACAACCACAACAACAACAACAACAACAACAACAACAACAACAACAAACACAGACACACACACACACACACGCACACAACACCAACCTAACAACTACAGCAAACCAACCGCACACACCAACAACAACATCAACAGCAACCACAGCAACAGCAGCAGCAGCAACCACAACACCAACAACAAGGCCACCACAAACAATTGGCAGATCTTCAATTAATTCTTATGGCTAGGTAAGAACCCCTATGCTAAAGCTTGGGGGACAACCACAACAACATAATAGCAACAACAGTGACAGCGACAACGACGACGACAACAACATTAACACCGAAAACAACACCAACAACAACGCGAGCAACACATACCAACACCAACATCAACAACAACAGCCACACCATGAACAACAACAACAACAGCAACGGCAACAAACAACAACAACGACGACACCAGCGACGACGACGACAACATCAACAACCGAAACAGCAGCAACAACAGCATCATCAACAACAGCATTCATATCAACAGCGACAGCAGCAGCAACGCCAGTAACAACATCCACAACAACATATAATGGTGAGATAATAGTGAAGTTTAACACCCTGGCAATGGGGTTGGTCCACATGTGGGAGTTACATGCCAACACGACGTGCTCCCGATCGAGGAAGAGGAGCAGCATCATGAAGTATATCATTGAAGCCAGAGCTCACCACACCACCAACACCATGAACAACCAACAACACCAACAATAATTTTAAGACTGTTCGCCCTTATCTGCTCGAGTGTCCAATAACGCGTATTTCCCAAACCCTCGATACCGCTTTCTGCGTCTTCGATCCAACCCCTTTGGGGGGTATACCTTTCTTCCATGCAGGCCGGGCCCCGGCAAGAGGCGGGGCGGCCGCGGACCGTCGGCCTGGCCAGCGGCAGCGCTGATCGGCGGGGCGGCCGCAGACCGTCGACCCGACCCCAAGAGGAACGGACAGGGGACCGACCACGACGACGACGACGACGTCGACGACGACGGCGACGACGACGACGACGGCGACGATAAGCGAATCGAGAGCGAGAGAGAACGACAGCAGGGCCACGAAGGACACGAAGTAGGCCACGAAGGGCGGCAGCGGGGACACGAAGGGAATGCGTATGGGGCCACGAAGAGCGCGAACGAGCGGGGGCCACGAAGGACTGATAATGCGGGGCCACAGAAGGCAACGATGGGGCCACTGAGGGTAGCAACTGGGCCACGTAGGACAGCGAGGGGGCCACAAACGGCGACA